CGCCATCATTTCACCTGCTGGGATTACTCATTGGCGGCCCAGGCGGCCCATGAAGTGCCCAGCGTGAACACAAACGTAGAACTTCGCCACCGGCATGTTAACCTAGAACTTAGCCACCTGCGCATCAACCTAGAACAGAGCCACCAGCGCTAGCCTAGCACATATCGTGTGGCCTCGGGGTTAGGGTAAGGGTTAGCGTTAGTGTTACATTGCGCGTTCCAGAGCAGACAACGTATTGTCAAGGAGTACAATGGTTCCGGTTGAAGGGCGCTCATTGGCCGCCCATGGATGCCCCGTGGGCAACAACTTGCACATGGGCGACCCATGGGTGCCCCGTGGGCATTTCAGCAAAGCTGCATAATGTGTGGGAGACCCGAGGAACTCAAGAAGAAAGAAATAGCAGTAATTACCGGGAGCAAGAAGCCCAGATTGCCGCCTACAAAGCACACAGAAAACAAAATACGAACGGACTACAACCCACCTCGACGCCGTGAAGATCGCACAACGTTCATCGCCCCTCCGCTTCCGCCCACCAACAAACGGGACACACTCTCAGATCCGAGAAACCGTACCCTACGTTAGTCGGCATCTCCCCTTACATGCGGCCGGCCGGTAAAGCGGATACCAACGATTGCTGGTCTAGTTCGTGTGATTTACATGCCTGCTTGCCTGCTTGGACAGCCACACGAAACGCATTGAAGACGAATTTCATGACGGAACGATAAGAAGCGCACGGGAAGATCGTGTGTTGATGTCTGGAATAAGAGACCTAGAGGGAAAGGATAGCCATGATGAAGAGTTTATGTTGTGGCTTCAGAATCTGCTCGGCTCGGCGGATCACGTATTCTTATCAACTATAAGGTAGTTGATGGCGCTTATTTCGTGGTCGTTCAGGGGAAGGACAAGCGAAGGCCAGTACGATCAAACATGTGGTCATGTATGGGTCAAAAGACAGACCCAGCGAACATCATTGTGTGGATGACCGGGATTTCACCTGGTATTCTCTCGTTCACGAAGTGGCGCGCCGCATTGACCTGGCCCCAGACTTCATTTCATCGGATGAATGTTCATTTGTTTGGTCACAGGCCCTGACTGAAAGTTTTACCCATCTTCGGGACCATGCGTGAACGGGGAGCTTTTGAGAAGGGAAATAACGGACTGTCAAAGGCGAAATACGAAGTGGAGGCCGTGCTACGTATACCAGGGGTACACAAGTATCAGAATAAACTACGAGGAAGCTATTTCGCTGAATATAAATGAACGAGATATGCCGGTAAGGCGGGCGTACGCTCTTCGAATGCTATGGCTTCTAAAGAACACCAAGACTCACCTTGGTCGGGAGAGTACAGGGCGATAAATCATATGGTTCTGGACCGGAGCATCAGTAATAGGTGTGGTAGTCAATGAAGGCGCGGCGGCTGCCATGTATGTACACGAGTACACAACAATGGTGGTCTAATCTACAGTAGACCGCCGACAATACCGAGTGTGACAAGAAGATGTAGAGAGCAGTCAGTCGTTGTACCTGTTGAGCGGGATGCACTGCATATTTAGCGGCTTAAATCTCGTGGCACTGCTGCACCCTGGTTTAGCGGTTGTCCTATTCAACAACCGCTAAATAAACCGATCATGCCCTCCATAGCTGTTGTTGACCGTGTGTTCAGCCACCAATAGCGGTTATTGATTCAAACTTTGCAGAGCCCCAGCGCGCGCTTTACTTGCACACGCTCACACACAGCGACATTGGTCAGTCGGTTGGCGTGGTCGATACTCATAATAAAGCACACAGCGGCACAAACACACCATGCGGTGCGCGGAAGGAGTATAATGCAAGCTTTCGAATGCGGCACTGAGTCCAAGCGGCGCGCACGATTGTAAGGGTGGCTGCAGTGGTCGCTGATCGACAATTCGGGTGGCTCAGATCTTGGTGTTGGGGGTATTAGCAGGTCAGCCATGACTGGCCGTAAACTGGTAAAACTCGTTGTAGACTGTTCATCGAGGGCGTGCTTGAGCTCGTCAATCGGTCACGGCATCAAGTTCACGCATCACGCTCAAAACATCAAGAGAATCTCCACGAATCTCCATCCTTCACACGAGTTCAACGAGGTCTATCACATTTGCGGGGGAGAACGCGGCTGGCGAGAACGCGGAACGGTGAGAGGGCGCTGGAGAGGGTCAGGCTGTATGTGTATAGGAACCAACGCCGGACCAATCAGAGGGCGTGCAACCGCGTAGATGAAGAAAGAGTACGAGTCACTAAACAACAGCCGCTAGACCTGGTCTATGTTTTGGGACTGCTATGTTTGTTTGCAGTCGTAGTTCCCCGGCTGGTACTATCTGCGGGGAGTGAGACAGGTTTGCAATGTAAAGGTAAGAGTAAGGCCGCGCCCCGTCTAAGGCTGGCGTGACAACGAGCATTCCGCGTGTCTCACTCCCCAATGTGCGGCCTGAGCAGAAGAAATGGACTAGTCTATAGACTAGACTAATTTTGGAGCGATTCGAAAGAAAACAATTGAAGTACTCCGGTACTTGGCTGTAGAAGTAATATCTTCACCAGTGTGTGTATTCTGAGGGCGAGATCGATGGTTCACAGCAGAAAGAGAGAAGCCGTTACCCTCTTGACGCTCCTCCCGCTGGTGGTGACGTCATGACGAGCAGTCTGCATTCATGATGTCATCCGTGTGTACCTACCCACAAGTTGTTGTGTGTGTGTGTACTTCACTCTTAGCATCGACCGCGCTAACCGGCTGATCAATGAAAATACGTAAGTCTCAATGCGGTTGAAAACACAGAACAAAGCTAAATGCCATTGACTGGGACCCCGTGAGGGGGCGGCATGGGGAGACTAATTTATTCTCCGGATGAAGACAGAAATGGTAGCAACAGAAGAAATTGCACACGCCTACGAAAGCTGCTAGCTTGCACTTGAGTTCAGAGTTCGTTTGGAGTGCTTTCACCGTCATCCTCCTTCCTCCCAACTCTACCTATGTGTGTGAGTATGCTTGAGTGCATGTGCAGCGACTGGCGACGTGCATGGTGCCTGCAGTTTTGCAAGTACTCCTTGTGTGTGGGAGAAGAAAGAGTGTCCTCGGCGTAGGTAATTTATCTCTTTATCAACGTATGCAGAGTCTGTGCACAATCAACCACAACAACATTCGTGGAAGTAGTTGTAGTGAGAGATTTGGGTACAACGTGTCCGCAGTCCCCCGACATCATGGAGGCCAATAGGTGAAGAAAACATGTGGTACCATGTGTAGCAGAGGCCGGTATCTGTGGAGGCAGGTGCATTGTTGTGAACAACAGAGAGAAAGGCCCTTGAGGCTCATGCCCACGAAATACCCGTGAACTGTTTTATAGATGATGCCCCAGGAGGAGGACTTTGGCTTGTGGTACGTTCAAGGCTCATTTGTCCGGCATTTATTTGGCTTTATTGGAATATTCCGCGGACGCCCGTGAATTTTCACTTCCACCATAAACACGTTGTGGACTTTTACGGACTTCCATGGGCATGGTGTCATGGACTTCCATGAAATTTCCAATAAAAAAATCTTCATTTTTATGGTTTTCACGGAATTCTGTGGTGGTATGCACGCGTGATGAAGTCTAGTAGACCCGTGAAAGAAGAACTCACTTGTTGTTACTATTATAGCAGCAGCAGTAGCTGTTGCCTTGGGTATCGGTACGAATGACACCGAGGGGCGCAGGATCCTCTGTACAAGCAGAGGGACGCAGGATCCTCTGTACAAGCAGGGGCTACTAGATCATGTCCCCTGTTTTATCCTTCCGCGGGGAGTTACATCTCTCCGGGCCTTCTATAAGGAACCATTCTCCTCTATGTTCCGTCTACACATCTGAATCCGATCAAAATTCCATGGAATTCCATGGATTTCCATTGCAAACCGTCGACTTGCATGCAAAATGAAAGCAGTTTTCCCGTCGTGTGGGGTACGATGTAGTTACCGACCTGTGGGGGGTTCAAGCTCTGAAGTATTAAGAGGAGAGGGAGGGTGTGGTCCGGTTCGTCGAATTCGCACGGAGGAGTTCTACGAATAGACATACCACAACGGACGCGTTTCTCAAAAACTGAGTCAAGGTTTTGCACCAAACTTGCAGGAGGAGCAAACGGGGCTAGGAGGGACACTTCTTCCAATGCAACCGAGAACCTGTCGATGGAATCTCGAGAAACATCGCTCGAAGAAAAACAAATTGCTTTCAGAGAAGAGACCGGAGATCGCCAACTCTAAAACCTTGAAAAACAGAAAGTGGGGTCGGATTCGAATTTAGGTCTGAGAGTTTCGGCGACAGAAACTGAATCCCTATCGGGTTTTAGACTAATAGTGCTTGAACGAAATCGAAAGCGGTCCGAGCGAACTACACGCAGAATATTTGACTTCGGATGTGAGCTCATGCGGATTGTCTTCGAATGATCTCATCACATGGATCCATGGCAAGGTATATTTTCGTTGGCTACTACTGTACACAGCTTGCCTTGACCACAGGGAAGCGTGCCTGTTAATCCTCTAGGAGATTCCCGTGGCGGTGTGTGTTGCCGACGACCGACGTTGTTATCATGAAAGCGACAAGCACGGATGGAAACGATCGCCTTACGACTGATACTGTGGAGAGGACAGACATGGGGGAAATTCCCGTGCCCAGTAAGTCATTCCCTGAATGAATGCACACATCATGCGTACTTTGATCCTTGTTGCATCCTATAGCGAGCGGTCGTTCGCTGTCACCGGATGGTCATATTCCGACCGGACGAAAAGGAAACCTAGGTGATAGGAACTTTTCACGGGGAGTGCTGTGGCTGGTGTGGTAACTTGTGTCACAGCTGACGGAGCCCACAATCTAGGCGTGTGACTACTAATCAAATTATTACCAACAATTTCTGCTCCCACATTCATTCTTTCCTTCAAAGGGTGTAATGGAATGGGGAGCGTATCATACGTACAACTGCCAACCACTTGCTGATCCCACGCTACTAGAAAAAGCGGAGTCAGAAAGCAAAGGGGGCGTGCTGTCTCGAATGCCACCACGTTGTTGCTGCCACGTTCTTCAGGCGGGTGTGAGGCCTCAATCGATCATGATCGATCGTTCTCGTGGCTCGTGCAAGATTGGACGGTCATTCTCTCTTGGCCCTTCGTGAAGTACACCCGCCGGCTCAGTTGTGTGCGAGCTGTTTCTCGAAGAAGCCCATCTTGTGGATTCTGAACCGACGCACGCAGGGAGGGGGCAGTTTCACTTGCTGCTTGGCCACGCGTGCATCCCAATCGCTTGGACATCTGCACTACAAACTCATTCGGCGAGACCCTGCCCATCCCACTGGAACGCTTCGTTGAAGGATTTCGAATGGCGTACTTTCGTCTGCTGCATAAAGGCTTCGGTGCGGAACGCACGAGGCTCGAAGAGTTCTCTTAGGAGTTCAGCTGCACAACCTTCTCGTAATCATCTCAACATCATTTCACACCAATTCGTTAATGTTCCATTTCCACTCTCATGCTGAAGCCCTATCACAGCGTCACAATTGCTACAAGGTCAACTGACCGCTTTTTGTGCCTTTCCCCCACTTGCACGGGGTTTTCGTATCGAGATCGTATCCCTTCCTGGTGGCAAGTACTATTCCTGGCTGAGGCATCTTCTGCACTGTGCAACCAGCTGTGTAAGAACCTATCTTTCACACTGTCAAGGACCCCATTGACGTCGTTACCCACCGCCGTTGGACATGGCGCCAGGAGTCATTACACGGTCCCTCTTAGCATACATTGCATGCGAGCGTTCCCACGCTACAATACTTTCTCGTACGTCTTGGTCTTGGATTCTTCCCTTCACAACAGCACCACATCAGTTGCTCTCGGAGCTCTTACCTTACCGCGCCGTTGCTTCCAGGCCTAAGTTCCCACGGTCCTCCCTCACCCCCTTCTCCGCAGATGCCTCCTGCAATGTCATCCTCAGCAAAACCTCTCGCCCGCGGCGGCATTTTATCGGTTCCACCTGTGACAGGATGCGGGAAAAGCAGTGGATGTTGGCAAGTAGCGAGAGCCTCTGGCTTTGAAGGGAGACTTTTGCAGGCCGTTCGTGGCCTTCACAACTTGGAATCACAAAGGTATCGGGCTAGTAGGGCGTATGGCAGAGGATTCGGGTTTCGGAAAAGACAAGTTTTATGTGGAGCCGCCCCGAGTTGGAGTCGAGCGCCCGCAGGAACAAAGACGGGACGGTACAAAGACTCACTGAAGGTTAACAGCGGCAAAATCTCGGTATTGAGTCATAGTGGGATCCCGCCCAGAAACAAAAATCCACCCTGTCATTTCTTGAATACAGAATGCACCACCTAAGGACCTCAAATGTTGCCCAAGGTTCGTTCATCAGTGTAACTTCCTCCGAGTCAGTTTCGATGGCGTCGCCATTTGTAGTCGGCGGGCGAGGATGCAGGCCGTTGCTGCATGCTGTTGGAACAACGACGGCAGCCCCTGTGAGCAATTTTCGGTTGGAAATACCGAGCCTAGGCAATGCTGATTCCCTTCCCGTGAACCCTGGTTCAAAACAGATTTGGATATGTTCAGGCCTACAGTGCGGGACCATTGCGTTTTATTCGCGCCTTGGATGGGTTCGTGACACTCCAAAGCGTTTCATGACCGATTTAGCTTCTCTTATCGGGGTCCGTACATACCTGGGATACGCCCTATCCCTTGGAGAACAACCAGGTCCATAGAGAATGCGGCATTAACGAAACACGAGCCCCCGCCACCACCTCCAACAATCCCGGGGGACGTCCCTCCACCACCCCCTCCAAACCACCTGGCAAGTTGGCATGCCGGGAACACAACACGGGTCTTGGAGCGTTCCCGTGCATCCAAGAACGACTGAAGCTCACTCGAAAATATGGTTATTCAGACGTGTGAAGCGCAGTTTCATTTGTTGTGCAAAGTGAGAGAGATCTGCGTGGAGCGTGCTCTTTCGACTACATTTGTTTTCATGAACAACTATGCAGGAATCGTGTTTATTCCAGCACTCGTCAGTTGCAGAGTCTGGCTGCTGAAGGGGCTAGGGGAAGGTCGCCGTTACGATACGTTTGCAAGTTCACCGCGTGCCCTTCGCGAGGTTGATCGGCATTTATCGGGGTGCCAACATGCACCACGCAGCTCTTCTATGCCCTCGTATAGTTGTACTATAGGAGCTGCGCCTGACGATAAGAAATATTCGTAGGACCGGAAGAGACTGCAGGCTGTGGCAATACCTGGGACGAAATATGAAGAGAAATGAAGTTGACAGCATACATACCCGGAGCCACCGCCGCCACCGTATTGCCCCCCGTTGCCGCCGGCCCAAGCTTGGCCGTGCTCAGGCGGGAAGGTACACCCATTGATGTCCCCGCTGTCTCCCGCTTCCCCGCCGCAAGTGGCTGTTCCCATTCGGCCGTTCCTCATGTCAATCTGCGGCGATGGACGGGGACAAAGAAGAAGAAGCGGGCGAAAGAGGGAGGCGGAAAATCAACGATGATAACGGATAAGAGACCCAACGTACCTATTTCGTGTGTCAACTGGGAAGGTGACGTGGGGCATCGGCGCTCCAGTACAAACAAGTATCCGTCACGCTCAAAACAACTCATGACGAACCCAAAGCGAGGGCAGACGACCCACCTTTGTTCCGGGTATCTCTCCGTTTAGTCCCCCCCCGGGGACGCCTGCTCTAGATCCCCCCCCTCCTCCGGCTCCCGCAACAACCAGGGGTTCTGTCCGCCCTCCCCCGTACGAGCTTATCTGTGTCGAGGTACGGGGCCGATGTGATCAACATGAGTGGCGAAACACACATACGCGTATACACGTGGCGCATGCACATGCGCACAACTTATTCTGTGCTCCTTTGTCTCACGTCAGCACAGGCAGAAAACTGGAACTGCTGTGTTGGACACTGCCTTTCACTGAACGTCTCTTCATGTGCAAGAGTCGCAAGCGTTCCACTCTAGACGAACAATATCAACAACAAAAAACGTTTGGAAGTTTCTCCACGTGTTTCAAGCGCAATCCTTATGACAAACCACACATGCCTTTTTCGCAACCATGGAACATCCGCCTCCGCCGCCCGCCGCCCAGTGCGGGTTCCCGCCGTGACCGGCCCCGCCCCCCGGCCAACCGCCTTCGGCCACACTGAGACCCGGAATATCAAATCAAACAGCGACGAGCAGCACGAATGAACAGCGTTTCTGCGGACTACTGCAACATGCAACCCTCGCACATTGGATGGGGTAGCTATCCTCGACATGGACGTGCTGGAAGGTGCAGCCGACCTGCGTGTGAAAAGGCGGCCTACCGCAGTTGCTTTTCTCTGAAAAAAAACAGGGGGTTCGTTGTTTTGCGAACAGGGTGCTCTGGCACGTCGACTCAGTCAGTTGCCACTTTTCAGATTGGAAGCGAGCGAAGTCACACCGTGCGGGGCGAACTGTGTACCAAACGGTTTGTGCCGAAGGGGGTGCGGGGTTCCAGACTCGTCGAAAGTCCTGAGCATATACGGCGCACGGCTGGTTGTCAGAACGCGCATTACTACCCGCCCACCAGCGACGTGTGAAAACAATATGAAGATGAGATGCCACCCATAGCAAGAACGGTTCCATGTAGCACATGCGTCGAAAATCTCCCGCGCACCCTCACCCGTGCTGATCGATCATGTCAAAGACGGCCTTCCCGAAGTCATCAAATCCCCCGGGCACCTCTTTTTCGCTCCCGTATTCCCCCGCCGCCCCCCCGCCTCCGACGGTGACCTGTGAAAAAAGCAGGCGGTTTCACTCAAAACTTGTTCCGATGGTTGCTGTTTACGAGTTACCGTATAGGTGATGATGTGAGAGGATTGTTTTGCACGTTTGGAATTAACACGCTGCAGACTGAACAACTTCTCGTGTGCTTCCACGTGTGCTTCCACGTGTGTCTTGGGCGAGGAGCTTCATATTTGATGAGGGTGGTGAAAGGAGCAAGCTGTCACCAATTATAGAGGTGTCCACTAAAGGTCGGCCTGATCCCGAGAAGGACAGTGCCAGCCCCCCGGTGTGCTCAACACCAACGTTGCTGCTGAAGTCCGGGAGAGCACTGGGATCCTGGTTCGAGCCAATGTCAGGACAAGGATTTCGTGTCCTGTATCGGGAGGAGAGGGTGCTATGATATCTATCGTTTTACCGGCGTACCTCGAGCTCGTCATCTGGGGTGACGTACAGGAGGGCCTCCGCGAAAGCTCCACCCCCGCCATCCCCGGACTGCCCCCCCTTGAAGTGCCCGGCGCCCCCGCCGGCGCCCCAGACCTGGACCTTCAGGCTCCGGCACCCGTGGGGCACCTGCACGAGAGTTACAACACAATTGAGTCTTGTGGAATGCTAACTTTCGTGGGGTGATGTTGTGTTACAGTGGCGGCAGGGTGAGGGATTGTGTCAAAACTATATAGCCATGTTGGACGGGAGACGTGGTCGACGCCAACCCTCCACCCCAAATTCTGGCGAACAGTACGCTTGTCCCCGCAGAAATCCCAAAGGAAACGACGCCGGACTACTGATATCCTCCCTAACGTTGCACCCCGCACATGGCCTGTTTGGAAAAACTCTCACCGCACCTTGAAGGTGTACTTCCCGGGGACAGTGTAGAGAAACACTCCGGTCCTGACAACGTGCTCCTCGCTGTGACTTCTCCGGTCTTTGGCCATCACCATCTGCTCGCAGCCCTCCCACACGCAGTGCAGCAAGCGGTGCGGGCATAGCTCGTGTTCGTGGTCGATGCGCTCCTCCTCGGACTGTACGTGTACATGGAGTGTCGAAGCCAGTCACTCACAGACGTTGGAACACATGTACCTCAATAACTAGTCTAATGTTTTTCGATTCGGTGTCGCGTACCGGAGCTAGCCCGCTGGTGGGCTCTCGATTAGTAGTAGGGAGTCGTGGCAACCAGGAGACCGTGCGTAAATTCGAGGCCTTCATGGAACTCATTCCGACAGCCGGCAAAAACAATTCTCTGTCGGTGGGTCGTTAACCGCTGTAGCGTCGACGGGGGAGGGACCCGAAATGACAGCACCGTTGGCCAGATAGAAGTTTGCTCCGTTGGCCTGTAGCGCAGTTGTGTACCGGTTTGCCGTGTAATTCCGAAGACCGGTATACCGAGGGCGCCGAGACTGCCGAGGTCGAGAGGTGGCGTTTTCTGAACAACCTCTGTCTGTGTCTGTCTCTTCTGTCTCTCTCGTTCTCCCTGTCTCTCTATCTCTCGCGCTGCCTGTCTTTGTGCCATTTTTTTTTTTTTTTGTATTTTTTCCTTTTTGTGCAAATGGTTTTCGTGTTGGTACAAATTCTCCTCCCTTCGAATGTCTCCCTCAGCCCAATAAATGGTTTGAATCGTGAATCCATTAGACAGCTTTGATTGCTCGTAGAATTTCCAACGCAATCCTCTTTCGTGCTTCGCATCGGTCTGGTCCTCGATCCGCGATGCAGGCATGGAAAAACGTTAATTGGTTGGTCCGTCTAGGTGTCCATGTCGGTGCCATCGTTACCTGGAGCATCCTATGGAGCCCTCCATGGAATTCCTCCCCGCAGCCAAGGCGACATTTGACGGGAGGGAACGGTCTCTTGACGCACGATACCTTCATGTGCTTCATGAGGTCCTCAAAGGGAAGCCACTCGCCGCACCTGATGCCACCCACAATCATAGGACCATGGACAGGAGCTCACAAAGCAGGCACGCCAACGGAGTATGCACCGAACGACTTACGGCACAGTGCGAGGTCGAAAAAAACTGCTATCGGTAGAGAGACCACCATACATCTTCTTGCTGATGGTTGTAATAAGCAGAGCGAAGTACAGAACGCACAAACAACACAAGGGTAGGGATGATAATGTCGTACATGGCTGTCAATACGGCAGGCCCGCACTTTCATAGGGGAACTGTGCTTCGATCAATATGGGCGACCCAAGTTTTCACCCAACGTGGGAATGTACCGCTGGTGCCCCGTCATTTTTTAGACCTCGAAACCTCTGATTTTGAACAACCTAGTTCTGCCGCCGATCTTTGAATATAGTCGTTTTCGACAAACCATTCGCAGACAGCTCAAACCAACTACCTCCTCTAAGCTACTGGAACCAAACACCATGGTACCGTTCAGATATCTTGGCTCGCTTTATTATTGCGCAAGTGCTTCCACTTGGTGCACTTCGTTACAAGGGGACGATTTTGTAGTACTGCAGTTGCGTTGTTCACCTTTGTCCACACGGCACTGGCCGTCTCGGACACTCTGATTCCTCGTGGTGCTGCTGGCAGAGCACAGCAGGGTTCACCAAACTTGGGCTGAGCCATTCTTCCTCCCGCATCCTGTGAATTTATTGCGATATATACGAAGGTACAAAAACGATATTCGTGAACTTTTGATTGATACCGTGTTTCGTATGCATGCTTTGCACGCTCCATTCGCAAAACAAACTATCAAGAAATTTGCGACCAACGTTTGGAGAGACGGTGGGTGCCCAACATCATCACCACCGAACACGCCGGGTTCACCTCCTGTTTGCATTCCCCAGCAACATCCGACCAGCGACATAGATTCACACCCGAAATACTACCATTGTTTCCCCAGTCTAGGAACCAAACCTATCCTCTCGATGGATTCGTTCCGCGTAAGACATGTGTTGTTTCTCGTATTCACCTTAGGCCGCAGCCCAACTCGCACGGCAGTATTCTTTTGCAGCACTGCTCCGTTTCATGAAAAAACTTCTCCTGGCCCAGCCGTACCTGCGCAAACGAAGCGTTCGTTGCCGTAGTAGGCGTTTTGCTTTGTCATGTCCGTCGGTAGCGATCGTCGCGCAGGTTTCACTTGTGCCGACCATGATTTCTATTGTGCGAACTACGATAATTGGCGTGACCTGTTCATGCACATTCAAAAAGGTGTTTGCTAGGCAGCGGCCCTCAATCGAACATCAATAGATGCGGTGCACGAGTGCTCGCGCAGACTACATAACACCGCTCGACCGTTCAGCTCTCCGCTTTACATTGTCGTCCATGTTTCCGCGGCAGTTTTCGGGGGCGCATGTTCTTCAGAGTGTTGATGGTAAGCTAAATGATAAAGAAGGTGATGGATATTGATCAAGGATACCCGACATATTACCCATGCTCTGCAGCCCCATTCGCAGGCGACGAATCCGTCTGCCTGTCGAACCATGGCCATGTGCACCATGCGGATCAGTCGTCTCCGGTTCATGGTTCTGCCAACGCGGGGGGGAAGTCGAACCCACGGGTTTGGCAAGGGAGCGACCGAGAGCACATCGGATAGCCATAGAAGCAACGGTACCCTACTCTTCCTACCCTTCTCACTGCTCACACTGAAAGACCAGCACTGCTGAATGATATCATTATCTTGCCCTGACGGAGTTTCGTTGCAAGCGCAATCGGATTTTCACATGATCCATTTGTACTTACGTCGTCGTGTGCAGGAAAAGCTGAGTCCTCGGCCACGGAATTTGGGTGTTATCGAGTGAGTCAGCTTAAACGATGAAGTAAGTGCCGGACATTGTGCATTCGTGTGCAGATAGAAGAGGAACAAAAAAACAAACAAATCTGCCTTCCAGCAACCAGCCATAGGGATGATGGCCGCTTTCAATGGATATCAATTCGTCTCACCTCCGTGGGCCAAAAAACAAAAGAATTGCGACAAATTCGATTGTGTGGAAACAAAACGCGATTCCCGAGCACGAAGGGGATCCATTCGTCATATGTGCGTTCGCAGCCGAACAAGGGAAGCTGGTGGGTTGTGGCAAGAGCTATATTTTCCATTCAACTTTGGTACCTGGGGGTCGTGACTTTATCCTCTCTCGTTCTCAAGTTCTCGCGCAGGTTCTCCGTCCAAACCGCCATTCTGTCCTCTTCGCGCTCATGCCGTTGGAGTTCCTCCTGGATATTGCGTCATCATCACCACCATTTCGTCAGAAAACTAATTAGAAGAACAAAGCCATTTTTTTGTTTCGGGGAGCCAAGGATCGTCAACTGTTTCTCTTCCAAAGATTTTAACAAAATAGACATTCAATTCATCGGCCATGCGTAGTGCTGACCCCTTGCATGTATCAGTGTTTACGGTCGGGAAATAGATGGACCGATCAATAAACCGACGGGAACCGCACCGCAAGGAGTTAGTACTGGGATACCATGGTGCGTGTGAGAAGCGAGCCCACCCAAGGACTTGCAACGCTATGACGTTGGAAGCCCTCGACACCTGGAGGGGAAATCGGAATACAGGGTCGTTGTGAAAAAACCCGATCGACAATTGCGCTTAATATTTGTGCACAAAAGCTGTTAAGTTGTAACCATGGAAAAACTTCCATAAACATAGGCAAGTGTCATGTAGGTAAGCGTTGTTCGTTCTGAAGAACAAACAATAGCTTGGCGGTGACATCTGGGATGGAGGCATCCGCAAGGCGAAGTTGGAATAAAATATTACTGCTACAGTAGGGGTCCCTGCTGTTTGGGTGCGGTAGCTCGTCAGAGGCCGAAAGAGAAAGATGGTTGACTCAAGAACTTGTTGTTTAGAGAGTGAGGGACATACATGCGGTAGGCAACACCATCGCCATGCAGCATGCCCATCAATAAATTTCATCCGCGTACCTCCCGGGAGGCCCCGTAGACAGTATACTCTGCCGAGCACCCCAAACAGCCCCCCTGCTCGGTACGAGATAGAAGAACGATACACGAAATCCCCGTCACGACTATCATTGCCAGATTAAACAGCAGAAAGAAAAATCAAAACCCCTATGCCAACAATAAATCATCCACCACTCTAATTCAAACGACTCTGTCAATAGCACATGTCCCACGAAATCGCCGGATCTTCCAAGAGAACACGTCCTGCAAAGCTTTCAAATCTTAATATGTCAAATTTCTACCCCTAAAAGGTCTGTCAATAAACAAATCACCCTCTTGAGAAATATGTTCTACCAAATTATCAAGTAGTTGAAACACGAATAATCACCCCTGGAAAAATACCCAGCAAAAATATCAACATTGCATCAGAACCACGTGAGAACGGGGAGGACGGGTAACCGGGAAAACGTGTCTTGTGTCCTGAATATTCAGAACAAAAATCATTCCTCAGCCAAACATTCATGCTTCAACTCATAGACTAGTTCAAAGAACGAGAACATGCCAAACCCTTCCTCCGATATCCAAACCTTGATAAGTAAACCATTCCAGCAGCCCCCCTGCTGTAACATCCATTCCATCTTGAACATGATGAAGCCAAAATCAAAACAATCAATCAATCCAGTAGCCCCCCTGCTGCAGTATCCATCCCGGAAAACCAAAACCAAAACAAACAAACCACCTGCGACTAGGATCATGGAACAATACTTCCCCCCCCATGGTTCTCGCGCAGAACTATCCCATCCATCGCGAAAGCAGAAAGTAACATCTAAACAGCAGATCAATGGCCAGTACCAGGTCACAAATAAAACACATGACTTAAGAAAGCCCCCCCCCCGCTGAAATAGTGCAACACAAAGAACAAAATCAACGAATATTCATCACAAAGTTACGATGCGCGCAAAAGTCTCCTTGGGCAGCGGTTTGGTCAAGAAATCCGCGCGTTGCAGGTCCGACCGCACATGGACTACCTTGAACTCCCTCCGCGCTACACGCCCACGGATGAAATGGTGGCGGATGCCGATGTGCTTCGAGTCGGGGGGTAGTAGCCGGGTTACGTGCCAAGTGAATAGCGCCTACGTTGTCCTCCCACACCGGAGTGCACCCCACATCACGGCCCGGAAAGATAAAATACCACAGATACCGCAGAAAAATATCCTCAATCATCCCATCAGACATCGCCACGTACTCCGCTTTCGTCGAAGACAGGGTGACGCTCTTCTTCGTCCTACATAGATACATCACACACGCACCAGCGAACATCACTAGTGCCCCAGAAAATTCCTTGCGTTCGGCGTTGGTCCAGATGTGGTGGTTTGGCCCCGCGTGCGCCTCTCCGTGTGTCTCAGGCGTGTCCAGGTCGCACACCAGCCCCGTCGACAGGGCTGGCTCAGCCACGCCCGGTGCAGGAAGCTCGACGATGGACCGCTTGGTCTCGTCCTCCGTGGCTAGAAGAGCAAGCATCCCCGGCCCCGGCCCATCTCGCTTCGCCCACGACCTCGTCACTGTGGGGGTCACTACAAACTCCCGCTGCCCCTGCCAACGCCCGCCTGTACCGCCCTCATGCACCATCTCCGTCCACAGTCCGTCCGATGTCAGCGGCGCCGCCGCCGAGTGCGCGGGGGCAGGTGTGGCAACAGGTGCCGCAGGTGTACTCACTCGCGAAGGCCCCCCCGCCATCCGCGCCAACACCGCGTTACGCGCTGCCCCGCTCTCCACCATGCTCTCCGGCTCCGTCATATGCTCATGCTGCCGCTGCTCTGTCGCCGCCGGAGTTTCCGCCGCTGCTTCCGCTCCTGCTGCTACTGCGGGGACTCCGGCCATTCCCCCCGCCGCCGCCGCTGGAGCTGCTGCCGATGCCGCCGCTCCTGCCGCCGCTCCTGCCGCCACTGCGGGGACTCCGGCCATCCCCCCCGCCGCCGTCGCGGGGGGAACACTGCCGCCAGAGGTCGCCGCCGTCGCCGCTGGAGCTTCCGCCGATGCCGCCGCTCCTGCTGCCACCGCGGGTCCTCCCGCCATCCGCCCCGCCGCCGAGGCGGGGGTAAAGCTGCCACCGGAGGTCGCCGCTGTCGCCGCTGAAGCTGCCGCCGATGCCGTCGCTCCTGCTGCCACCGCGGGGCCTCCGGTCATCCCCGCTACCGACCCCCAAGAACACCCATCTCCCCGAAAGTCCTGGCAGCTGAAGTCGAAGGTGCAGTGTTCGGAGTACGTGGGTACCCTAGCCGGCGTGATGATCTTGTGCGTCGTACAGGAATGATCCTGGCCTGAGTTCAGATAGAAGCACCGCTCCCCCTTGCTGTGCATCTTGGACGGGCGGTGACGGTGGCGGAAGCCGGGCATCATGAACGGCAAAAGCAGTCGGATCCTCCTCCTGCCGTACAGCTTGACTTCCGGGCACCGCTTGTCTTCCTTGCTCACCTCCGCTGCGATGGCCAGACAGTCGTTCATCCACGCCAAGGCCTCGGGCCACATGGCCCGGAAGGACAGCGCCTTGGTCGGGAACGAAACTCCGGGGAAAAGCTTCGGGAACTCCAGAAACGCAGCCTTGCCCCCGTCCATCACTTGTACAATCCTCCGCTCCACACGACGGTTGCTCTTGGGCCCGTCGACCGCCGTGAGCTCCCGCGTAATGTTCAGCTCCGCCAGCAGCCCCCGAAACTCCGCGTTGACCCACTCCGTGCCGTTGTCGGTCAGAACACAGCCCAGCCCCCCGTGAGTAGCCAAGAGCGATTTGATGGAGGCACACCACGCACGAAAGGTCGCCACCACATTTGTACCGCTCTTCTCTCACAGAAAGAAAATCCATCCGTAGTTGGTGCGGTGGCCCAAGATCTGCATCACGTACTTGGCACCGCCGCTGGATTTGCCGAAAGGACCGGCTAGGTCCATGGCAACACGCTCAAGAGGCCGCGTCGTCCGGCGGGAGGAGGAGATAAACTTGGGGACCGAGCGCTGGATCGCCTTCGATTTCGCACAACCATCGCAGTGCTCCGGAGTGCCGGTCACCTTGATACCCATCTGCCTGGCGGTCTCGTACAGCGTCTTGGAATTTGCATGACCGAGGGAGCAGTGAAGAGCGTTGTAGTCGATGCTGGATTGCGAGCCAGGCCGTAGCATCGCCGCAACCATCGCGGGGGGCTGAGGAGGCGAGTCGCCTTGAGGCAGTGGATCAACGCGAGTCCCGTGGATGTAACTCCCGAGAGGGAATTCTGTCATGCGAACCCGCCCCGCCAAGATCGACGCTCCATGCCGGTTAAGCTCGATCTCATGGCGATCCTGGATCTTGGTCAGCGACAGAATATCTAGCGCCAAACCCGGTATCACACCAACATTCTGCAGGGTGACGCGCACGTCCTCAGGGCAGTGGAAGATCACATCCAAGTCACCAAAAAACTCTACCGGAGGCAAGGCTGCCTTACACGCCAAACAATATTCAAGCATGCTCTCACCTCGTTGTCAACCTCACCCTCCAACCCCACGGGCACCACCATATCATCGCGGTTCATTTCACTACCACCCTCGCCGGCGTTTGTGATGGCGGGAACGATTGAAGGCCCCGCCCTTATGTCGGCCGATGCAGTGTTGATGCGTTTGGGCGTGTCTTCTTGCAATCGGCCAGTAGACTGCTGCTTCTCACCCTCCTGCTGCTGCTTGAGGCCCTTCTGCGCAGGAGCTAGGAGCTTGCTCTCGGCGCTGGCGGCGGTGTCATTGCCGATCCCTCGCTTCTGCTTCTTTTTGTTCTTCTTCGCGAGTCGGCTCTTGGCGGCTTGAAGCTCTTGGCTGACCTGGTTTAGTTTGTTCCAGGGAGCGCGAAAAACACGGTCTCACGAAAACTCTAATCCCGCAAAGCACGAACGGGTAATGACATCTCAATGGATGTTATCGGTGTTGGTGACGTTACACTGGTTGCAGGTTGCGCCTCTTTTCACGCAAGCATGTTGCAGAAGTGGTCTTCAGTTTTTTTTCGATATTTCTGTGAGAAGCCCTGCGTCTACGTAGTCTGGAGCCATGCTAATGGATTCAGGCCAATTTTTAGTTGTGACCAGTCGGTCTCGCCCATGTTGGCCTCCCGCCGACGAGGGTTTTGGTTTTCTTTTCCCACACCACTACGACGACAACAGCATCACCAACAAACCACGCGGCGGCCGAGACCGCCACCGATACCATCAATCACACACCTTCTGCGCTTCAACTAGCGCCAGCCGTGCCTCCTCTTCTCTCAATGCCTTTTCGGCCTTGGCTCGTTTTGCCGACCTCTCTGCTACCTGCAGGGCCGTGCAGCCTCGTTCCCTCCTCATCAGCATTATCCCGGCAGGCCCTCTGGGTTTATTAAACCAAAGTTTCGGAGCAGCAACACTTTTTCATGAGGAGAATATCAAGGACTGCGGCCACGTTGGGAGGAAGGGACCACCAAACGGTCGAGACTAAGGACATACACTCATCACTGCGGAAGTCAAAACGACCTGCACGAACAACTCGCTGGGAGCATCGCTCCGTAAAACACCTCGAGTGTCTACCACCTGTACCTTTACGCAAAAAAATGTCTCGACCGGCAGGTATCATGCGAAACGTGCGAGATTAACGCTGTCGAGTTCACCATTCACACGATGATATGCATACCTCTTTCGGAGTCGCTCAGCCTTGTACTGCTCTTCGGCCTTCTTGTCGAGCTCTTTTTTTCGCCGCATCTTGGCCACAGCGAGCTCCTGTCTCCACGCAGTCTATCTCAACCGAGGGAGATCAACGGCATGCACCGAGGTCTGTAACGGTGAGCGGTGTTGGGCCGTGTTTTCTTGAAAGGCCGACTCAAACGTCGGCATCTGAGCGTCTCACACATCTCTAAACGTTGCCAGGACTCGCCACGGACTTGTTTTCTGGCTGTTGCTTCGTGTCCCACCTCTTTGTCGTCGAGGGCAATTTCCTCTGCGGTCTTCGGAGCTCTCGTCAAGAGCTGCCGCTTCACCCATCGTGCCCTTCTTACACCTTCCCCGTTCTCTGTCGAGCCCGTCCTGGTTGATCCTCCCATCGAGAGCGCCGTCGACGTTGCTGACAAGACGGACATTCCCCCCGACGACCCTGGGTGATCCACGAAGAAGATGGGGGCCGAAGATTGACTCGGGCACCAACAGTGCTGCTGGCACGGCAGTGAGTATCTGAGTTCGGCGGCTAGGTTTCGACATTGTCTGAACCGCTCTTGGTTTGTTGCATCCATTCCACGACAAGAAAATTAGGACGTGTTTCTCAAGAGCAAAGGAATGTTGAAAGACTTGGTCGTCCCACCAACATGACGCCATCTCTTGCCGATAGCAGTGCCGTCCGACAGGATCTGCCTCAGCGAATTGTCAGCCCCAAACACAACGCAGAGGGCGCTTCCTTGTGCTCCAAGAGGAATCAATCTAGCTTAATATGCAATCCATGAGCGTCGTCGACTATGGTGTACCCTGCCCAGTGTGAACGGATACTCCTCTGTTGCATGCGTTCGCCAAGATTCTGCTCCCGACAGATTAGGTCCCTTACCGAGTCGCCACACCGACATCCCTGCTGTGCGTTGCCCGCCCATTGTGTACATTTACGCCTCCACGATGGGACCGCTGTGCATGCCATTCTGCCATGATGCGTACAAAGTTCTTCAGAGACAACCGAGATCGTCACTTTTTCCTGCACGACCTTCCAAGTATTCTTGTCTACGTCGTCTGGTAGCTTCCACAGTATCAGCAGGACTCACCCACTTGCGAAGGCGCTAGCTGTGTCTCGCACTCTTGCACGTCGTAGTGAATCGACAGCACCATGTCTCCGGCTTCGGTTTTCGTTCGGGTTTCACGGACACGAACAACCTCGGCGGTCGATTGGACAGCATTACCTCGAAATCTGTACGCGACCCTGTCGCCTTCCTTCAGTCTGGACTGAATTGGAGAGTGTGCATCAACGGGAACTTGTCACAACGAGTGAAATACAACCCCACCCCGTCAACGCTCACATGGTTATACAAAGGCGACGAGCTTCAGGCGGCAAAAAAAACAGGTGATTATCGAAGCTTCAGTATTTCGGGTCAATTAGTAGTCGGTTCGTATTAATGACAAATTTGTCGAGATACACGTCGTTGCGAGACTTTCCCTTGCCATTCACTCATAAGCGTTCAACTTATAAAGGTTGGTGCGATGATGCTATATGGTCACAACGAGAGAGTTTCACGGTCACCTTTGCGGTGCCTTGCTCCGAGCTTGGGGGGGGCAAGTCTGGCGGGTGGAAGCGAGACTTCATGAGAGCCGGGCAATAGAAGAAGTGGAGTCCCGTTGTGCAGTCCTGATACTCCTCCCATGTATCGTCATCCTTGTCTCGCACCTGTCGAAACCACGAATTGAAACGCCTGAGCATCAAGTGCACTCAGAGGCTTCCAGACTGCTTCTCACGTTCATGTGACAGTTATACGGTTGTGGAAGGAGTAGAACGCGACTTTTAGCTTATGGCAGACACGTCGCCGGTGGTCCATGCTCAACGTTTTGTTCAATGTTGTTTTCGACGAGGACTCTCTCACGGAATCGATGCTACAGATCAAGCAGGCACGGTGGTGGTCGCCAAGAGCAAATGAACAAATCGCTTTCCAACACCTCGCAGGCTTCTATGATCCCTCTTCCTCTCACAGGTTGCCATGAGTACCGACACGCTTGCTACATAATGTGTACGACCCAACAACAAATGCCTTTCACGGGGTGAGCATCTTGACGGTTATGACGGAATTCAAGAAAGCAACATACCAGACTACATCAAGAGCTTCAGCTTACCTCCCTCACGAGTAGTCCACCACGGCGAAGATACGCCCAGGCGGTGCAAAGCATCATCCTCTCGTTCAGCTCCTCCGGTGGGCAGAACGAAAACCCTTCCGTTGTGGGCCGAATAGGCCTGTGACGAGGTCTTGTTTTGTCGCTCTGCGTACTGCTCCTCCCTCTCTTTTGTTTTCGCCATGCTCGCCGACGCCAAAGGCGCTGCACTTTCCGCACAAGTTCATCTCGCGTTGCCACAACCTGAGTGTACAAAAAGCCAGGGATTAGTAGAGTGCGACCACAATGGACAAAGCGAACCTCATTCACGTACAGTACTGGTGTCTTTTGACGTTCTGTTTCGGAATATTTTCCACCTTTGCGAGTCGAAAGACGAGCACAATATGTTGCACTTGCCCTACCGCAGATGGCGGTGCATTGTACTGCCTCCATGCTTCTCTTTCTTAACACCGTCCGCACGCCTCAGTTCTACCTAGTATTACCATTATCGTTCAGAATTCGTTTCTATGACTCGCGTTAGAACGACACCAATCCTAAGCACCTTTCGCATGCATACGTGCCAACTGCTGCGGCGGCACTATGCACAACAACAAAATGACAACAACAACAACGATCATGAAAATATGCAGCACGACCTGAAGGAGTTATTTAGCACTAGGACTGACCTCGTCGTGGAAGAAGAGGGATGCCGTTTCCCTATCAAGGTAGGTGGTGTAGCGCCCCCGGATACACACCACTTTAGCCGCCGCCCTCAGCCTCTCCCACTCATCCAGGCACAGCGTGGGAAACCCGCACCGAAATGTCTGTGTGACGCGATCGCCAAGAGTATGATTATTGCCACGGTCCTGGACAGAACAACCCAAATCAGCACCAACATCCGCTCACAACAATATCACGTACGATACGTGCCCAGCACCGATCTTCCCAAGCTCAGACGACGTGGTATCTCCTGAGAAAACGTGGCAATGATGTTCTGCCTAGCAGCATTTCAGAAGCCAAACGGTGAGCCTGAACCGGATGCCTGTTCCGTGACTCCGGTCTAGGTTAGTCTCTCACAGACGATTATGTGTTGGGTCAAGGTGACACAGGCTCGGGAGGAGGACAACCACAGCGGGGTGCGATACTATGCTCGTTCGCCGTTGTCACCACACCTGCACTTCCGCCGAGCCTTCTCCCGGAGGGAACACATCTGAACCAGCCCTGGCTTCAACAATTGCGCTTTCCCCGGCAACCGTAGAATCAGCTGCCCCAGTGATCGCGGCTGAGGGCACAGCCGCCGTGATGCTCCCATCCTTACGAGCACTGCTGGCGGAATCATGCAGTGCTTTGTCACCATCGCCCAAAGAAACACCTTCCCGTGGTGCGACTTCTGTTGTAGTGTCCTCTTCGGCAGCGATCATCCCGTCAATTGGTGCGGTTCGTGCTGCTGCTGCTGCTGCCGCCTGGGATGGAGGAGTATCTAAGGAGACTGGATCATTGTCGCCCCCCAGCGTTGTAGAAAATGTCAGCCAGCTCGGGTTCGTAAGGGTGGCTTCTGTTGGGGGGTCCCAGGTGCATTCCCTCCTGGTACAGAATGGTGGGCAAGCCCCACAGTATTGGTGTTCACTCATCTATCATTTTGCGTTGGTGGGGGGTCCCAGGTGCTTGTCTCCTGGTACAGAATTGTTGGCAAGCCCGACGGTATGAATTTCCATTCATGTATGTTGTGTTGTAGCCATATCGATCTCACTCGGTGAAGGTAAGACATCATATTTCCCTGCTTTCGTTGCAAGCAACGACGAGCCTTTTTTCTGGCACAAATCAAAGAACAATTTCTACTTGTACAAAACTCAGCATCCTGACTGAAAAAACTTTGGACTTTGGTCGGCACTTTTCGTGACGTGTGAGTGTTGCTGGGGGCTGACCGTCAAGCAAGTGAAACTCATGAGAAGCTCTTAATGTGTTCCGCAGAAGGACAGGTGTGCCTTTACCGCGCTGCATATCTAACCCTTCTCGATCTCTCATCGTACTTGGAATTCCAAGCACTCAGACTTTGATGGAAAATTTCGCGACATCCTCGGGTTGTTGGCCTCTCAAGCCGCCTTGTTTCAGGATCCAATCCTTTCGTTCGGATGCTTTTCTTGGGTGGCAACTTGTCGTTGCATGGTCAAGCCGTCCTTACCCGACGAAGAATATATTTCGGGTCGCAAAACAAATATGGCCGCTACCAAAAAAACAACCCACCGTTCTTGGTGGAAAAAAAACAGTGGCGTCCCCATCATATGTAGCCGGTCCTTCTGGAATTCCCATTCCAGAGGTTCTGGTTTCGGCAAATGGTGCTCGTCGGGCAACGTGAACTCCTCCATTCCGGCCGACCGCCCATGAATTCTGACGACGTACCAGTCGTCGGAGAGTGCCCTAACCACGTACCCTCGGCTCCAGAAAAATACACCCTGTGTTGGTATCCGTTTTGCGAATCGAGTCGGTATGAGGGTCGCGGATGGTACTACGAGGAAAGAGCGTCGAGGGAGGATCACTCACCAAAACACCCTAGCCGCGTCCGCAGAGAACAACCAAGACACCATTGCCGTGAGGGACACCTGAAAAATCCCAAGACGCCAGAAAAGCGCGAAGAACGTCAACGTTCCGGATATTGTTTTGTTTGGGCCGCTCGTCTCGCCTTAGTAATCATGGCATCGCTCGCCCTGTGAACAGCCTCTGCCCCGTCCGAACGTCCGACAGTCACTCTGGCGTCACGGCTACAGCGTGGCCGAACCTCCGATCCCAGCGGCAACCTTGAGGGATAGGTAAGCCAAACAACCCGTTGGGTACGTCGGATTGGCAGACGGCTCAAACCAATTTGGGACGGCCGAAGCTAACAATTGATCCCTGTTATTATTCCAAACCGTTCGAACCACACCACCCCAGGGGACACAGTACGTTTGACGTGAGGGAGGACGCACATCAATAGACAGTGGGCCGTTCATCAATGAGCTCGCCCTCGTCCTCCAACAGCATGATATCATGTGGTCGATTCAGCACTGGTCTGAACTTGTACCTGTCAGGTAGCTCCGGATCGTGGAGCGCCATCCAGCCTTCCACCACTGGAGTGTCCGCTTTCCTGCGACATATCTTCAGAGCGGTAAGAGAAATGAAAGTGCGCGGAGTCAGTAACAGTCCATGTAAAAAAACAACGGCCTCGGTGTGGGGAGGATTACCACACTGGCTGTGCTTCCGTTGGGTGCCTGGCGGTCGATCACCCATGAATGTTTGATTGGCCCAGAGCAAGATGCTAAATATTTGCGAACGAGAAACCTCAGCCAAAGTCCCCGCCGTCCACATCTCTCTTGTACAACGCCGTCATTACCAAACCGGCAGAAGACGCCGACCAAGAAACCCACCGTTGAGTACGAAAGGAAATCCTCTTTGCATCAACTTATTGGACACAACGGGGAACAGTGTACTCATCCAAGCTGAGACTTTTCCCATAGGGAACCAATGCTTCATTCTCCGAATAGAACTATTTTTCTGGGTGAATATTTCGAGCATTACGAAAGGGTTCTTATTGTGACCCCCGTTACTTCCCGCAAACTGGATGGCCATTCCGCGACGCACTAGTTGCCGCAATGCAACGCGTTTCGGCATAGCACCTTCCATCCACGGACGTCCTTCGCTCTCCCGTCTGGCCATCTATCGGGTACATATGCCAGCACCGGAGGGGAGACTTCTCGCAGCTCACGCGCAAGATCCAGAGCCGCCTTTTCGTCGGCAGCGGTGCATCGCTTTTCCTGTGACGATGCGACCACCTCGTCCTCGATAACGTGCAAAGGGAGGCCAACGGTTAGCGATTGCTGCTTGCACGTCTCGCAGTCATTCTTGTGCCGACATCGCGTTCGTAGAAACGATGACCAGGACACTCTAATTATTCACATTGTTCTGCTCTGTTGCAAAGCTCTCGTCTCTTACGCGGCTCTTTATGCCGAGATTGTTCGGGCTTGCCTTCAAGCCCTGATGACAAGAATCTTCATCAAGCACATTTTTCGATTTTTGTCCCACACCTTCTTGGTGAAGTACAAGCAGCTACCCTCCCCTCGTTCGCAGCACATACAGCGGGTGTTGGACAGCTTGCAGAAGCGAGTCCGGTGGCCGAGCCGGCCCTTGTGGCAGTTGCGAGCGCATGTCACGCAGACGCGGAACATCTCCATGTCTCCCTGCGTACGTATGCAAGCGAAATTAAAACTATGCATTCTAACGAAAAGTCATGGTGCAGGTCTTGTTGGCGTTCACATGTTCAGTTTACCTCATGTCAAATGACCACTTTCGTCAGCGGCAACGGCACTCACTCCCTTGGATGCTGCCATGTCGCTTTTGCTTCTAGCCGTGTTTTGGCCTTGCTTGTCCACACCAGCAGTATATGATTGAGCACACGTGTCCATTGATCGTGTTTTCGTTACGCCATCCGGGTTGCCGTACGAAACGTGCTGCCATCAACTACAATGAATCCGTATCCGTGTTCTCTGCCAAAACGCTCTCACAGATCGCATAGTCTACAAACCTCTCAAAATCAAAACCGCAGACTTTCGCAACCGTTGTGAACCGTACACTTGCCTTCCAATCTGAGTCACACTCGTGGCATATATACCACGGCTGCTCGGCACGTTCGTATCCAGCCACCTGCCCGAGGGTAGCGAATGGCCAGCAGGAGTGGCAGTCACATGGGCGCCGTAGGTTTTGAACGCCTGATTGTTTGAGGGTAGAAAAATGAACATCGCGAGTACTTCAACTACAACCACGACGACTCCGACCAGTCCCATTGCCATCATCACACCAACATCAACTGCGCAACCACATTGACCACCAGGAATGCAATTAGCCTTGGACATACACACCATACCGCACGTGGATGTTCAACTCACGTCCATAGTGCAGATAGGGTGATCACCAGCCGTTAGGTCTACGGGGGGGACGGCTTCCACTGGACGGTCCCTGCCATAACGACGGAGCAGTTCAACGATGTCAATCAACGCCCATGCTCAAGCATGAGCACTGTTCACACCAGTCAACTGATTTTAAGTGAATGTTTCTGTCACAGGCAACGAGACGGATCTACCGGAAGACGCAGCTTCCACAGGACGCTCCCCGGTGCCCGCAGGTCATGCGCGCCTCTGGGGGGTGGGAGGTTCGTAAAAACCATGTACCAACTCCATGCAAACAGCAAGCAGACCGAAGTTTCTGCCTTTACCGCTTTCAGCACCTTCCTTACTGGGGCTACGCTTATGCAACAGAGACGGCCGCTCACCAGCGTAGGTCCCTGGTAAGCACGTCTTCGACGACGCGGCCCTTCCGAACCTTGGTGATCTTTTCCATGCAGTAGAACTCATTGCCATCGTTGTCGACTCGCACCTCCCACTCCCTGCGTTGGCCAAGCACTCTACCTGTCCCTTCACTGTGGTCGAAGGCCCACTGCAGACTTGCCTCTCGAGGGGGCATGAGCAGACACGTCTCATCAGAGGTGTCCACGTAGAATACCACCCCCGACTCCCTGTCTAGCACGGAATTGTACCTGCTTGAGAGATAGTGGAGTTGAGTGTGTGTGACATCAAGAAATTCACTCTGGACCGTACTTATCCCTGAGCTATCCTCGAACGTGCGTACGAGAGTCGAAACGTGAATGTTCGTTGAGGAATCTATGTAAAACTTCTGATGTACTACAGATGTCTTCGGGATCGAACACATACGATGTCATTAATTGAAACCAGTATCATCAGCCAGCACACAGCTACTACAGTACAGAAATATTGTTTTGGGCATAGGCATCACACACGTCACTCGAAGAAAGCACGTAGGTACAACGCAAGTACACACCTCCCCGCTGTTGTCCTCAGAAACTCGGAGCCGTTGATGACGGACGCCCATCCTAGCAAGACCGCTTCAAACTTGGCGAACTCCTCCGGCTTTTCCCACTGGAAGTGGTCCACACTTTCTTCCTCCGCTTTTGGCCAACGTTTTAAATATTTGGGAATCAAGCACATGCGAACGGAAGGACTGAAATCTTGGCCGCGAATCACGACAGCGAAACACGTTCTTGAGAAATCCCTGACGATTGATAGGGGAAAGAGAATAACATGTTGTTATCTCCTTGTCTGTTACATGAAACCTATGCCACGTTGTTGCCAAAGGAGGCTATCCAAACTGGCGTTGCAGCGAGAGTAGGGGACAAGGGTTGCATTTCATGGTGGTAGATTTGATTAGAGAACAATAAGTTAACTCTAGACTGCACGACAAATATCTTTGCGTTAAACGGGCGAAAAGGTTTCCCTAGTCCATTGGCTGAGATATCGCACGTTTCGCTGAGAAATTGCACATCTCACCCATTTCTTCGTCATGGGTTGGTCTACCGCCAGCTTGACCGCTGCCCTTCCGCCGTCCCCCTTCTGAAACCTAATTATTGGACGAGAAGCTGGTTCATACTCATTCATGACGCCACATCCAACATCACAGCAGTCAATTATGTGGAAATTGTAGAAATGGATAAGCCTGGGGTTGGAAGCTGTTCAAACTTGCGCCGAGTCAGTAGGGACTAGCGCGTGGGGGAAAAGAATGCATGAAATCCAAGTTCTGTTTTCAGCCACAAGGAGTGCGTGATGCCTGCAAACCGACAAGTTGCAGCTAGTGCTGACCACGTTTGTTTCTAGGCGAACCTATCAAGAAGCAGGCAAGTAAGGAACGGCGTCAACTCACAGCAGAAACAACAACGGAAATAACCAAATACATGAACCACCACGTTGACAGTGTCCTTCACCTTGCCCTTGCTGTCAGCCTCAGACACGCGTAACACCAGCTCGTTTTGATAGAAGAAGCGGTTCATGGTCTCCGGATCCAGGTACTCCATCCATCCCCCCAAGGTCCGCAGATGGACGCTGGCCTCCTGGGTGGCCAGCCACAACTCGGGCTCCATGTCGACGGATTTCTGGCGAATCTTGAGCAACGTCTCCACCCTGCCCCTCTCCTTCTCCTCTTCTTCCTCCACGTCCTTGTGTTTGCGGGCCTACGAAGAGCGAAGACAGGGTATTTTTACCTCATGCATGCGCATTGTACCTCAGCTTTCGTCTCTGTTTAAGGTACAAAGTTGTAAAAGGTATGTTCGTGGGAGCCCCGCAGTACTCCATGACAGGCCCTCCCTAGAAAGTCCCTCAGCCCGTGTGGCGAGTTCCTGAAATACATCGATAATATGGTAACCCGAGAGGGGACTCATCGGACTGTGCTGTGTGAATCACTTGTTGATGACGGTCACAATGAATCCAAACAACCATCTGTTTACATGTGAAACCCACCTCTACCAGGATATCTCTCCTTTGATCCATAAGGAGGACCTCTTTCTCCCTCGAACCTGACGGCGTGTTCAGTCTCCCTCCGCTGAAATTAAAGAGGAGCTCCACCGCCAGCTTTCCGTTCATGTCGGTCTAGCGGTTGTGGTAAGGCACGGGGTGGGAGGAAATAAGTGGCACTAACACATCATAAATAGTCCTCCACCGGCAAAAACGAATGTTGCTATAGCTTCGTCTCTACTCCTAGGCCATTTGAGTCCGTGCGTTGACTGGGACCGAGCGAAGCCTTCACAAAATCAGGCTTAGATGCTCAAGACTTTTCGTGGCCCGTACACGGTATACGTCAGGGGAGAGGGCAGCCAGCGGATGCTTGGCTACCCGATGGTGCTTCACGCCAATCTCGAGCTCGACCCCGCACCATTTTCACTTCTATTTACGCCTAACCTTTTGTGGGATGCTCATTTCACTCGCCGAATCCCTGACATACCTCCGTGCAGCACGTCAAAGCTTCAACAGGTGAACATGGAGCGATGAATCGCTAGCCAGCTGTCTGGCTTCATTACTTCTGTATCTTTCTATACCCTGGCAGGTTTCCGTGCAGTGCTTCGAAGCTTCAACGTGTGAAAAGTTGAGCAATGAACTGCCCACAAGTTCCACATATTACGATACCCTGACAGGTTTCCGTGCAGAGCTTCGCAGCTTCAGCGTGTAAATTGAGCAATAACCGTTGGAGAAGAGGATCGTGATTGTTCCAAGAGTACATATTTGCGTTTCAAACCTGAAAGAGATTGAGCTGATGATGTTGAACAAGAACCCGGATCGTTTCCTCATGGGAACAGACATGGTTTTCCACACATGCCTGGTGCAGCGCCGACCAACCCCTGGCAGCAGTTCGAAACGCGAGTTGAGGAGGGTGTTCAATACAATGCCATTCTTGTTGCTGGCATCGTCGTAGTGCAGTGCTCGTAGTAGAGTTCAACTGTTGGTAGAGTTCAACTGTTGGTGGGTTGTGGTGCTATATGTTGTACTGTATGCCTGTATGAGTATCAAATGCTGTTGTTGATCGTTGGTGCCAACCAGTGTTGCTGTTCGGTGATTGGTCACAACGATATGAGTGAAATCGTTTTGAAGGCACACTGGCGGGTAGGCTGTGCAGCTGCAAACGCACCCACGGAGGGCCGGCACCTAAGCTACTATAATGCTGGTGTCAACAGTGCCACTACACCACCATTCGAAGGCAGATCCTTGTGCTAAACCCTGGCTCGCCTCTCTCGGTTTCGGGAACTCCTATTCCCTTCCCTCGCTCCCTCGAAGTCACTCCAATCCCCGAACCGAGAAGCGTCAGCTTACCGACTGTCTTTGGAGCTGCAGACGGAGAGGCGGAAGATGTGTCTGAGTATCGTAGATAGATGCCAAGGTTCAACCACCGAAGGAATGAAGGTCGGAGGATGACCCGGGTTGAGATGCCAGAAACCTGAGAAAATGACGTGAAACATCGAGCGTTTGTCAAATCGGTACGTTTATCTAGCGTAAGGAGTAGCAATACCCCATCAGGAAAGCCATGAGTAAGAGTGACGTGGAGTTCAGAGTCGAACGCGAGCCACTCGGACAAGGAACCAAAGTCGGTATCTGTTGGAAAAATAATGCTCGATGGGAGCCACTTTGATTATCACGGAACAAGCTAAAGCTTGGGAACAGCATCAGGGCAACAACGTCTAGGAACGCTCAGCATCGTAGGGTTGTGATCGGCTGCGCAGTCACCTGCGTCGGGATCCGGGTCAAAGCGACCAACAACGTAGTCCACCAGTTCCTGGCTGGGCTCAAGAAGCGTGGCTCTCTTGGAAGGGTGCATCTATCAGCAGCAATACAGCGTGGCCGAGGGCCCGAAAAAATGGATCTACGAGATAATAGCCTCGTTTTGGTGTCTCGAGAATACCCAGAAACGAAGAGAGCTCGAACTCTCCAACTGGTTCAAGGCTTTAGGGAGGTTGACCACGCTTTGAGGATAACGAAAGTCTCTCTCTACCATGAATGAATGGCGGTCAAGAAGATCTTGTCATTTCTTTCGCCGTGAACGGGTACCCAACGCAACAAGTGGCGCTTTCGTAGCAGAGAGAGCAGAGAGANAGAGAGAGAGAGAGAGAGAGAGAGAGAGAGAGAGAGAGAGAGAGGGAGAGACACAGAGAGACAGAGATTAAGCGGGGACTTACGACGAAATATCCCTTAAAACGGGCTATCTACTTTCAGAACAAATTTCGTTTATGGTTCAATATGGGGCTTTCCAAGGAATGTCGTTGTAGCGAACGTGATTGTGGCCCACCCTAGAAACGGTGGTTCTCGTGCTCCAAAGAACGACACAGCAGTTGTGGCTTGATGCATTCCTAGGCGTGAACACAAGATAACAAGCTGCACGTGCGCAGAGCAGAAAAGGCAACACTAATCCGAGTTCGGAATGCAAGCGATGAGGATACCTGATCTCGACACCACAGTGCGGCGTCATAGATCCAATCTTTGCGGAAGCGGTGTGTCTCGTTCGACCTCAGCCTGTCTTTCAGCATTCGGGGAAATGCGGCCTCCATGATCTGAAAACCGAGACCGGGAAATCAAGACGTGCAGAAAAGATTGGAAAATAACAAAGGACGACAGTACCCTTAACACAGTGACTACTAGGCCACCCCTTCACAACACACATCCGTAACGTCACACTATTCACATCCGCAACCCCCCGCACACCTCTGCTATAGCGTGTTGGTGCAGCTGTTGGATATCTATGAAAAACGTGCACCTACGGCAACTAACCTTTGTAAAGGGCTTGTCGGCCACCGGTATCCTGTCACTGACCACATTCCGAACGGTCTCTTCGCCATGAAACGCCAAAAGCTCGCAGCAGTCGGGCTTGGCGTACCTTTGTTGCCGATTGAAAACGCACGCACCAAGTCGACCAGAGTAATTGCCTCAGCGACCGCATCTGCGGCTGTGAAAACACGAAAGGAACTGACCGAAGCTGTTCGGAGCATGTGGCCGAAGGTGATATTGGGAAATAATCGGGTAGCGGTTCCGCGTCTCACGCTAAAGCTGGACGCTAGTGGAGAATCAGCACAGCGGGACCTAGAAAAGCCACTTCTAGTGCCATGAAGAAAATTGCCTTCAGCTTTGGCAGAACCGAACCGGCGGGATACATTGATATGAACGCTTCGAGCATGTCGCCTCCAGTGAAAGCACAGTGAGTGGCCTGAAGAACACCGTTGCATGGCCTGCACGGGCCACGACCGTAGCAAGGAGATAACACACCTGCGACGATCGACGAAGCCCTTGGTACACCTCCGGTGGTTGGAGCATGTGGGGTTGTACTACACACACAGTCACGTAACGCTCAAGTTGGGAATTTGCGCTGTCACCTTGCAGCCATATGTAGAGGCGTGCAGCCGGCAGTATCTTTAACGTTCAGGGTGGCATTGTACTCCAACAGCCGCCTGTTCATGGAGAAGGGTAGGACACAGGGCATGGAAGGGTTGTTCAACAAGTGTTTCTCCCCCAAAGTATTCCACTAAAGACTACCTATGCTCATCAAAAGAGCTGTGTTGACTCTGTGTCTACCGGAGGGGGCTGTTGCGAGCACGACAAAGAACGGACGCAGTTGCACGGCTATCTGCACCTCCTACACGTATCTTCTCCCGAGTCTCGTCTCTCCCTCTGGCATCCATCAAGCTGTTGCAGTCTCGCCTGCAACAGCTTCTTGGTGGTATACTGCTATAGCATTGAAAACGTGCACCACGACCCCATGAATTTATACAACGCTTGCAAACATACATTACCACCAGTGCCTTTCGGCGAACCCAATCGAGACACGATGAAGGCGATCCGGATTTTGATTAGCACTTGGGTTTCCCGGCACCTTACAAAACAACCCCGGAGGGTGCAAGGTCTGACCTTTCCGTGCTCTGCGCGAGATGCATCCCCAACCCGACTACTCCACAACATGGGATACCCGGAGTGGTCCTGCCAGGAACAGTAACAGTGCTCCCCATGATCTACAGGCTTAGGGCGAGAACTACTCCGGGCCCCTCTGGGACGAACAATTTCCTCAAAAGGATAAAACTCGCCTGCAGGCCTCGACATTCCCGTGCTTGGCGGCATGGTGCAGCGCCGTCCGCCCCATCAGATCCTTTGCATCGACCTCGGCCTTCCTTGATATCAAGGCATCCACCACCTGCATCATTCCCATTGATCAAACAGGAAGCGGCCACGAAAGCTTGTGCTAATATGGTTGAGGTGTGCCAAGCGCTGCCGCCTTACTCTGGACTTCACTGTCGGCCTAACTCGCTTTTTCTTGCACGAAAGATCTGCGGCTTGGCTCAATATTTCAAGCATAGATGTTGGTTTTCGTCACTCGGGGGGTAGTGACAAATGGGTTTTGATTGGGAGGGAGGGATCCTTTTCTGGGTGCACACCACCTGCCTCGTATTCGGATGTTGATGTTGTGTTGTTGTGTTAGTGAAATATCAGGATAGAAACACTGTGGGGGGGGACTCGGTGGTTGCTTTCCTTGCTGGGAAGTTCGAAAGGTATGATAACGTCTCAACCAGGTACTTGAAGGCCTAGTCAACCTTCTTATCCATTCGCATCTGGAACTCACTCTGCCGCAGAGATTGATGGATGCAAGCGGTGTTATCCTATGTCAGCCATCCGTTGCAGCCGCCAGAGCTGGCCGCGGCGTTAAGTGCGTGCGCTTCCTCAGCAGCGATGCCGACGTCTCCCGTGTTTGGCCCCATATCTTTATTCCGTTTGCTTCTGAGAGTCCTCAGTTTCTTGCCCTACGTGTACGGGGGATTCACGCTCTACCGTTGCGTGTTGCTTCCAGAAGATCGACTACACTTTCTCGTTGGGAGGAGGTACCTCACCTCGCAATGACCCCTCGCAGCCGCCAAAGCTAGCGGCAGGCTGACGGCCCCGCGTGGCAAGTGCAGGGCCCCGGCGTCGGGAGGCTGGCCGGCAGAGAGATATAGCTCCACTTCAAACAAGAACCCTGACTCACAACACTGGGAACGATTATTGCAGGGGGTAGGCGCTCTTGTCGTCGTCAGATATAGAGGGGGAGGGGGGGGGCACTTATGTGGGGGGTAGATGAGTCGGGATTACCTTGAAGCACTGGTACGATGCGGCAACTCATCATGCACACCTGCCAAAAGTCCAGGAGCCTCGGCCGCACCAAATCGGCACCCGTGCTCCCTTCTCCCCTTCGCAGGCGCTGGGCGTACCCTTCCATCCTGCGCGTCGAGATTCCTCTGTCACACAACACCTCTAGCAGGACAGCCCCGTCCAGCCCGGTGCTAGTATATTAAGATGGAGTGACAAGAGAATGAATGTGGCTCCGTGGTCAAGGAGTATCAGCTAGCATCGTCCGCATCGTCCAGCCTTCTTCGTGCGGAACGACTTGGGAGTAGAGCGGAAAGGGGTTTTGTACACTTGGGCAACTTACCCTTGGGTGTAACGGGGGAAATCTGTCCCCAAGCGGCGAAACTAAGCCAACCACAACGCTTTTTTCCAGGGTATGGATGTTGCAGACATGCTAGGGATAGCGCAGAAGGAGGTTCTTGGGAGGTAGAATGGTCAGAGGTACGTGAAGGCTTGTCGTAAGAGATCGGAAGAGTCCGCAAAGAAAGCACACCTGAGGCAGTGGTCGATCCAAGCTCGCCATTCCGGCCTAAGGTCCGCCCCGCCTTCTACCGTGGGTCCTCCGTTAGGGTGAGCTTCAATCAACCTGTCCAGAGCACAAATAGTGATTAAGCTTGGGAGAAATCACGCTTGAAATACTTCGCAGAAAAACACACCCATGTAATACCGAGTACAGCGTGATGCAAAACAACAGTCCGGAGAAAGCTGTAGAGAGGTACCCAGACGGCCCAACTGGCAGGACATTGGGTTGCATCGTCACTAGCCAACGCCGTTGTGTCGGAGGCGTGCATCATTTCTGGGTCGACGATGTAAACAGTTGCAACTCGGACAGCGGCTGAACTGCTGGGTGGTCGTGCTGCATTCGGCGGATATCGCGTGGGTCATTCGGTGCACCTACAAAGAGTGTAGTACGCCTGGTGATATTCTGTTTAGCAGAACACCTGCGTCGGATTGCGGCTCCAAGCCAGTGCGGAAAGAATACAACAGAGCTCGTGACATGAGCTCTATGAAGGGTTTGATCTTACCGGTCAAGTCCGCCAGTCGCCAACGCCCATTGCATCACTTCCGGGTTGGCAAACGGTGCGAAGCCCTTCGCACGCAGCTGCGCCAGCAAGCGGTTGAGCTCGACGCCTTTCCTGGCGTTATCCTTGAGCCATCTGTGCAGGGTACCACAAAAACAATCAACTTCTAGTTTGAAAGCCTAGCTTCAACACGGCAGTGGTGTGCACAGCAGCGGAGTGGAGCAACATTTCTCCAGGCGCCCTGCGGGCTTCCAAGGTTTAAGCTCACTCGTCCAAAGGTAAGAGGAGAATGCAAGCGGGTTAATCGTCGTGCTACATTCTAGCTTGCCAACCGCCCGTCTCAGGTGAGACGAAGCGTCGCTGCAATCCCGTCGTAATCCGTTTCCAACCTATCGAGTGGCCAAAGTAGGATACCGTTTATCGAGTGTTTCTTGTAGAGAGAGAGAATGAAACCTGCCCCAGCACATGTACTGATCACAACGTAGTTGAGTGAGATACCTTCCTCGCCTACCACGGAAGGCGACACTAGGGCACTAGTCGAAGTGACACTCCCTGCCGCTCCTGATCCGTGGAGACTTCCTCTTTCGACTCCGTTCAGACCAGGAATCAAAGGCGTATGCCCCAAGTTTGTGGGTGCGGCCCCCCCCCCCCCGGTATAAACCGACCGCAACTGTAAGGTCGGGTTCGTGAATGATATGGCGTGCTGCGCCATTTTCTCCGACCGACATTTTCCACATTCCAAGGGTACATGGCGGAACATACTGCTGTATGCTAGGGAAACTTGGAATCTTGTACCATAACCGTTCAAGTCGCGCGTGAAAAAAGCTAGGCGCTAGTACCTACCGTTTGTTCCCTCGCAAGACAAAGGACACACTGGAAATGCCAACCGCAATCCAAAGCTCTACCTCCTCTTACCGCTCCCAAGTCCTAGGGATAACCCCCTGTTCCACGTCTAGTCCGGGCATCATGTCTCGCAGCTTCTTCAACGCAGATTCCGCGGCGTTCATTCTCCCCTCTCGGGTGCTCTTTCCGATGCCTTGAAACCGTCGCAACCCGATTGTCCTCGTGACACCACCATCGGACGACGGCTCCATCCACTCGCCCTCAAGCCGGACCTGATTTCGTTACACAAAGGAATGCACGTGGCGCAGAAGGGTAACGATGTAGGACACCTGGCGCATAGGACCTTGTGCCTTTTCGAAGCGTTAGTCGCTGAAAGAGAGAAAACAACACGTTCAGCTCTGAATGACAACATCGGTGGCAACTTGCCGTACTTTCTTTCCATCGGCTGTGGAATTTTCACGCACTTGACGGCTTCAAAACTGGCCCCAATTTGTGCGCCACGACACCTCGGTTGGTGTTGTTCGTGTCATAAGTTTTGTCTTCGTTGTCGTTGTTCTTGGTTTGGACATTGGCGTACTTGATGCTGCGATTTGCTGCTGCTGTGAGCGTGAGTTTCTCAACTCTGTCGTTGGTGTATGTTATTGCTTGGCTGCTGGTGCTGTTGCCGTGGTAAAACAAAGGACTCATGTTGTTGCTACGTAGCTCCTGATGGTCTTGTTGCTATCTCTTCTATACCCACACGATTTCCTTGGTAACATACCATCATCGCCATGAAAGACGGTGTGAGGTTGGTCCGTCCTCACCTCCATGATGACGTGCTTGTCGGGGCACATCGCCGTCGCAGGCCTCTCCTCCACTATATCGTAGGAAACCTTGAGGTGGCGTTTCAGGCACTGCTCTTCTAGAATACCGACCGAGGTCGTGTTGAGCGTCTCCGTGAGTGCTGCAAATCCTTTCAGTTTAGAATCGCCGGCCCTGCCAGATGATGGAGGCATCGTATGGTTGCCAATATTGACACCCGGTGACTGCCAGTACACATTGGGGATGACCGCGGACATGATGTAGACTATTGGTCTAGAGAACGTCAAATTGTCGTTGTCTCTCTGGAATCAAACCGCAAAAGGGCTCTAAGTTAGGTTGGATATGTTTGAGGGAGGATCGTAAGCCCGTTCACCGTTGGGTCGCCCCCACTTGTCGCTAGGTGCAAAAGAGCCTTGACTGGCAGGGAATCCGGCTTATGCAAGGCACAGACAACGCGAACAAATTCCATCCAAGACACTCCACGCGTGATATTGCAACGCGCCAGCTGATTCTTCCTGGTCTAGAGGTTACTTGGTGATGGAGGATAGAAACGCTTTGAAATCGACGGAAAAAAAATACCAGATTCTGCCGCTGCCTGCTTGATCATCGCAATCAAGAAGCTGGACAAATCCGATGTTCGTCTCTCGTTCTGCTCGCTTGGTGTTCGCGAATAAAGTACGGTCATACCAGTCATTTAGAGGATGGCTGCTGCTCACTTGATCCTAGCGATGAAGGCGCAGAACTCTTGGAAATCGATCAGGCCGCTCTTGTCGCCATCCAGCACTTCGAGCAGTTCCCTGGCGCTTGTTTCATCGTATTCCATCTGACAAAAAACAGGACCGCAACCAACACGTCACAATCTGCAGGGAAATCGGAAACTCCGGCATGTTGGGAGATCATCGCGGTTGCTACACAGCATACCACACAATACATGCCCGGTTGACTTTTTCAGTTCCAGGGATTGTTTTGTTTGCTACTGTAGCTCGTGGTCTCTTCGATTCGGGCGTATCCACTCCACAACGGGCTACCATCAGCTGGAGCATCTACAAGAAAGCACGTTGTGACAGCATGCACTGGCTACGGGCGGCGATCGTTTCCATACACGGAGTTATCCTTTACTTGAACAGTCACCGACGAAGGTTTGGAAAGAGACAATACGGCATCAAAAAGTCACGAGGAGGAGGACATAAAATTGCCGAGTTTCATATCGTGCGTGACTTGAAAAATCGTGGGGCGCTGCCGCACTCTATACAAAAGCGCCCTTCTTCGAGGTACGCTGTTCTCGAGGGAAGACACGCATACTCACGTCGCTCTCCAACATGAGTCTGGATATCTCCGTGATATCGAGCTCGCCGCTGCCGTCATTGTCGTACTTGTCGAACAAGTGTGCAATCTGTGTATGTCAATGTTGCCAAGCAAGTACAGTAGGGGTCAATGAAGAAGGGTCCGAGATTGAAATTCCATCCATTTTGGCTCTATTTTCGTTTTGTACGCTGTTGCCGGCCTCGCTGTACTAGCCGAACCATTTGACGATCTCCTCGATTCGAGTGCAAACGAAGAATCACGAAAGCAAGGATACGAGAGGGGGTTGGAGTGTAGTCTAGATGAGACAACAGAGAAGTTGCTGATGGAAACTACATACTTGTACTGTAGGGTGTACAGACGTGCTGGACCAATGACGAGTCTGCTGTAGTCTGCCGCAGCTTTTAGCACTGCGGCGAGCTTTTCCCTCCACTGCTTGATATACGGAACGGAAACCAGAGGTGGACTGACTGAAATTTGAAAATTCACGTGTGTGCGGGTCCTTTTGCAACACTCGTCCTCGTCGTCTGTATTTAGCAAACGACTGTCTGTAGTATGCAGAAGAACGCCGAGTTTTCAACACGGCACATTTTCATCTTTCTCAGTGTGTGCAAGTATTGTGAATACTCTCTTTTCCGTGTTCGAGGTTAACCAGACGTTCGTTCACGGCTGGATGCGCCGACATTTACCTCCACGCACAGGGTATAGTAGCAGTCTCCTTGGTCTCCTTTGCAAAGTGTAAGAAAAGTCACAATTTCTACTCCAACGTTTACCCACCTCTTCGAATTCCATGGGCGTGAACGTGTTCAGGAACTCCTCGGGGCACACATGCTTCCCGACCTTCATGTGGCCGGTGCTGCTGGTCGTTGTTGCATCGTCGTCGGATGCGGCAGATGTTGCGGTGGTTGTAGTTTCCATGGCTACGTCGTGCAGGGCTGATCCGTGCACGTCGAGGCGACGCTCAATGGGAAGCAAGGGCAGCGGGCACACGCTCTACGTAAGAGAGAAGAACACCATGGCGTCGCGCGATCTCTCTCTCCCCCTCTTGTGCCCCATGCACTGGCAATGAACATCATGATGTCATGATGACCGTTTTGGTTCTGAACTCAGGCGAACCAAAACGCCTCCGCTTTGGCGGGGTGCTTTGCTTTGATGACAAACACACATATATAGTGCACAACGATGCCTCGGTCGCAGGCACTAGCACCATGCGTGGCTCTTCTGCTGGGGAGGGCGGTGGTGATGGATGGTTTTCTCCCGGCACCAAGATTGATCCCAGCTCGCCATAACGCGGTGTCGAGGCATCATCATAGTGCAAGCTCTTTGCAGGAACATCCGCATCGTCAAACACGTACGCGTTCAACCGCCGATCATGATGACAGATTCGCAAAGACGACAACCGCTACCCTTTCGATGGCACGGTCATCCCCAGGAGGGAATGCGAGCGGCGCCAGGGGCTGGATGGCAATCCTGCTGTGTGCGGCGGCATTGTTTTCTGGGCCTGACGTAGTTCAGATGGAAGCGCAGCAGGGCCTGCCTTCTCTGCTGCGACCTCCGCTAGCTTCGGCTCTGTCAGAAGAACAGGTGTGATGACCAAAGTCAACTGCCGCGCGCAACAGAAGGCGGGCCAAGCTCGCAAGCACCTCAACCCCCCCTAGTATACCAGTTACAGAATCGTGGCCGGTTGGTGTCTGCTGGGAACATGCGTGCCGTATGATATGTGCCTTGGACAGAAGTTGTCGTCTCCTGAGCGCCCATCGATGGTGCGGCGCAATTCAACGCCCGATTTTGGTCATTGCGAGCAGGTCGCAAGACCGAGCGACAAGGTGTCCAGGAAGCTCATGGTGGAGTGTTTGTTCCGAGCCCGGGCTTTTCGTTGAACAGTACCACTCGCCTCATAGATTCACAGATACTTTTGTCTTTGCTGTTGCGCCCAGACGCAAGGAGGATAATCGGGAGCTACAAGCAGTGTCCGTATCCAAATGCGGCGGAATCGCCACCCGTGCGGTGACGCGGCCGCCGATCAAGTAGAGAGACAGATCATCCGCATCCACATGGCAAGTTAACAAATCAAGATTCACCGCCAGAAACAGTGCTCCTGTACTAGGGCTGTCTCCGTCGTACAAGCACGACTCTTGTTGCGCATGACGGGTCGTTGGCTCTCGATGTACACATTCGTCGTGGCACCCGCCACACAAATGTATCCGTATCACAAGAATCCACCTTCTTCCTCTCTCTCTCTCTCTCTCTCTCTCTCTCTCTCTCTCTCTCT